CACAGATTTAACTCACACACCCAAAATTATGCATTTCCGTTGTTAAGTAGGATGATCTTATTTTTTACCAATCGCATAATAGCTGATTGTGTTTTATTATATTTTTAGGGGATCTGCAGCTTATCAGATGTCTGCGTCGACAACGCGGAAGTTGCATTTTCATCTTCACAATAACACTTGGAGTAATGCTGCTTATCATCAAGTATTACAACGAACGTGAAACTACGTTATCACTCACAGGCAGAGTTCTTTGCCAAGATCAACTCTCCCACTCATCCACACTGTCTGCAGTTTCGAGAGCGTTATGCGGTCGCAGTCGATCCCCACGTTGACATGGATATAGCGTTCACATTGGTGGTGCATGAGGACGTCGGTCAGATTGCTCGACTCCTTCGAATGATTTATAGACAAAACAACTACTACTGCATTCATGCTGACAGGCGTTCAGACTGCTTATTCATAGAGGCCCTACGTGGTGTGACGACGTGTTTTGGTGCGAATGTGCAATTAGTTCCACACGAAGAGCGAGTGGCAGTACATTGGGGTTACGAGTCAGTGCTGATTCCACAAATTACCTGTGCCAAACAGGCGTTGATGAATCACGCTACGTGGAAGTACCTGGTGAATTTGGTTGGACAGGATTTCCCACTGCGAACCAACATGGAGCTGGTGGCTGCACTAAAAGCACTCAATGGATCCAATCTCGTTGAATCTGTCGAACTGGGCAGATTTGCGTGGCGGACATATAAGCGGTTGCTACCATTAGGGGTGAGTGCCTAGCTAATGCCTTTGCCGTAATATGTCATTCCTTCTCTATGAAAGTGCACTGCTTGATATTTAACAGTGAGGCAATGGGTAAAGGTGTGTTTCCGACGTTGAGCGTGACTCCTTGAATTACACACATGCCATTGGACAAGACGACGCACAATGTTGTAGCAAGTTATTCTATTGTCACACGCCGTCCTCAATAGCTATAAGGTACCTGTTCAATTTACCCAGGCCATTAATTATACTTCAAATAAGTTCTATAATTATCACCTATAAATTTCAACTACAGCAACAGAAAACAAATTACGGTGGTTTTGCAAGTGCCATAAAACTCTTGTTCGTCTGGTTACCATTAGCAATGTTTATAGCAAATACCCAAGACAGCATCACACCTTAGTACGTCGAGGTCAACGTGTTAATCATAATCGGTAAAAGCACTTGAAGGGGTGCAGGATTGCAGTCGCACTAGCATTGAGACACGTGATATTTGCATTCAAATCCACAAATCTTAGCTAACGTTTCATGTTGTAGGTAACATGGGAAAAAGGCATCATCTATGGTGCATCGTCCATATCTATTTTAACCAATAAACGAGCTACTTATGCAATAAAATTCCGACAACTGTAGTTACTTTTGGCCTACATTTGACGTTGTAGACAACATGGTATATAGGCTCAATCTATGGTGCATTTCGAAGGGAATTTCTGCACGAAGCTGTCATGGGAACAGCTGTCCGTCCCATTCGCTACCTCATGCTCAAGCCAAAATATATCAGACATCCCGACGAATTTTACTTTCCAACTCTCGCTTACAACAGCCATCTTCACCTGCCTGGAGCTTGTCTGCATAGCCCAGCACCCGAATCTGAAGTGGGCCTCAACTACTTGGCCAAGTTTGTCATTTGGCGAAGCTACAATATGACTTGTGCTACGAACTACGTTCGAAATGTCTGCATTCTTGGAATGGATCAGGTGGCGTTGTTGCAGACTGTGCCACACATATCTGCCAACAAGTTCCATGCTGACTATCAACCAGAGGCATATGACGCGATGGAGCAATGGTATTTCCAACGAGTCGCAGCTGAAGTAAAATCAGGCTCTTACAACAGGTGCTCATTTGATCCGAACATTTACGCCGAACGTTTGTGTTCACGATATCACATCTAGTTTCTGGTTTTTCCGCTCTTTTTTGTATGAAAGCAGACATTTTTTGATAATCGTCTTCAACCTAGAAGCTAATAAGCACCATTTTGTGAGCACTTTGTGTTATGTTTACAAAGGAAAGAGGAGAGGCAACAATGTTATGTTGTGAACGCCAGCTAAGATTCGATATTGGAAGCATTAAATATTGACGTTGGAATGAATATGTGGTAAATGAGCCGAAAACCGCTATTTCCTGTTTCTGGAGCTTTCTTTACTAATCAGTGATCAGTGATGGTGGTGTAGATTTAGAGACACCTTGAGGAGAAAGAGACTGAATGGTGAATGGCATTGAGTTATGCTTAAATTACAGACTATTCTCTAAGTTGTTAGAGAAACGCTATTAACCTGAACATGCAGGTCATCAAAATAAGTTCATATCAAGCTTGAATTATCATGAGTTTGAATTAGTGGGAAGATGGCGAACCACATCTGTTCTCCATGCTCCTATCATCACAGTCGATGCAAATGCCTGTGGTCATGTCACACGTAAGTGAATGTCACGTCTAGTGCTAACAAGCTGGAAAAGTCTGTGGATTTGCGCAAGCAAACAAAGGCCTTGAGATGAATTTTTTTAATCCACTTGGCGAATTAAAGTAATCACGCCACCGATGTCGGGTTGGATTGGCTGTAGATAGTACAGCGTTGGTCATGTTGAAGACGTGATAAGTTTATGACATTAATTCAGGATGTAGTAATAAGGACGCTTTACGGAGTGTGGCCTGCAGCCAAGTTATAAAGGAGATGACGAGGAGAGTGTCAAATACATCGGATTGGCTTCTGCATTGACAGTATTATTGAATGCGTTGAAAGAGCATTGCAGATGTCGTTGCCATCATTAATGATATTTGACAACTTAGAAAGACAAGAGGTTCATGGTCATTGCATGACTGAAGAAATCCAGGATGTTTATTTTGCATGTGCAGTGAATCGCGTCGATTCTCGTGCATTAAGCCGGTCGTCGCAGTCTCATTCACACGTTCCATTTTCATGGAGTGGCAGTCAGGCATGCTGGATCGTTGGCTCATTCACCTATGCGCATGCACCACCACCACCACTACGCACTATTTCCAACTGACCATTTTCGACGTTTGCACTTGTACTACTTCACGCAAACTGTACCAGTCAGTCACTAACTGTTACGCGCACGCACGAGACATACCCAACTTGGTCGAGCTGTCTAGTAAATGATTGTGCCTCGTCGTCTCTTGCCTTCATCATCTGCGAGAGCAACAAAGTAGCCTAAACGGGCTACGTTTAACGCTGTAGCACCGGCGTAGTTCGACACTACATCTTTGGGCCCTTAACACACATACCTATGTATTTACTGAATTGTAAACCCACCAATTTCTGTTTGTTTCCTCATACTCTCAGTATCCGCCGATGTACACGGTGACCAAGCTATTGAAATTCCAACCCCAGTTTTCTCTTATGCCTAATATATTCAAGTGTTCTCCGATGCATCACACAAAATATTGATTTTGTGCCACACTGGTAATTGCAACTTGTGGGTGGGTCTACAACAAAGCAGCCACACTAAGTGTCACATTCAAAGCCAACTCAAAGAAATAAATAACCCCGTGAGAGTGTGTGTGCATATCACGACACGAAGGCTGCCTAAAATTAGTAATGTCGATGTTTAGCCTTTATAGTCGACTCCTCGTTGAACAGATGCTGCATTTGTTGGCGCAAGAAAATTTGGATTTTGACCTGAGAGCACACAAAAACTTGTAAACAGCGCCTCACATTAACGATTTCAAAATATATATCAGACTCGATTTAGTATAAATGTATTGAAACAATGCTCACCAGGTACGTAGGCTGTCTCGATAAACAATCAAAATGCACTGGCAACACATGTAATAGGTCTAACTAATTAGGCTCTAGTCGAATTTCTCGTTTTGTTCTGCTGCCGTTATCACCGCACACTTCACCAGAAGCGTTCAAATAAACCAGTTAAATGTGTTATCAAACACTACGTGTAGTAGTACTGTATATCCACTAAATCATGACCCGATGCGTTGGCGATTAATAGTGAAGTCTGCCACATGTTGCCGTCTAATCAATGTCGTAGGTAAGGATACACTCAGCCATTCATATCACGAATGAACCATGGTAAAACTGTTTATTCTGAGCCCTTTTGGCAAGTTGAAGTAGCTTTCTACATATCCGCTGATGGCTCACAAGTAGGGCGCACATTCGTAATTCAGGCACCTGTTTAAGGAACAAACTTATGGTTAAGAAGAAGGGCGGTGAATTGTTACACGACGAAACGAGAACACAGCCTGTCTGCTTGGTTTTGATAAGTGGTACTGTGAATTGGAGTCAACAATCAGTGTCACTATTCTCACATTGACTGGAACGTTAGTTTCCTTCCAAGCAAAGAAGAAAAGCACCCTCGTACACGCAATTTCGGTCCTAATCAAAATGAATTAATGCATTCTTTATTCTGCATCTTCCATAATCTAGAAACACGTCTTTCCGAATAAGGTAGCACATGACCACTGATTTCATGCTGACTATTAATTTGTAAGCAGCAGTGCTGTGTAACTGACAAGTTATTGCGTGTCTCACGAATGCGCAGTAATGGCATTGTGCAAAAGTGCATTGCTACGACAAGGTGATTTTACAGTACTGCCACACTTGGTGCTCCGAATAAACAAGTATTAAAGCCAATTGCATTTTTCAAAAATAAAAATGAGCATGCTTTTCGTAAATGTACGAAAATGATTAAAAAATATTCAAGTGGTGTGGCTTCAGGACTCATTCCGATGAAGAATGCCACTGTGGATATTTCGAAGTGAACAGTGGAGATTCTTCACATGCTGCTGGGTTGTTGGTACGGATGCTGGGTTGCAGTGCAAACAAGGGGTTTTTTTAAACTGATCAAACCAAACGATGACACCAGCTGCAACTACGGTGGCATAGAAAGCTAGATTTGTTGAAAACGTGCTACCAGATTCCAGTCGATTCATTCACGTGTGGCATCTATATGGTATATGGTATCATTTTTGATAGTGCTATATACCCAGGAATTGCTTCGTTTGTTAAGCGAGAACAATCTACTTCACCCTTCACTTCGCAACTATCACGCAATTAAAGCAAGTAGATGTTTGAATTCTCACCAGTTTCACTGACACCAATTTAAACAGTCCTCCCAAGATGCAGCTACTAGCATGATTCAGAGGAGCGCATCACTGCTACCCAATGATAAATGTTATCCAACTGAATAGGAGGTGAAAGCAGCCAAAGCATCATCTTGTCAAACGTTGGATAACAACCAACATCGTGAGTGTACTCACGCAAATGGTCATTAATAAAGGCACCAGAAATGCGGTTTGCCGAATTAAGCAAGGTGAGGCCGGAGTGAGCAGATTTATACACAAAATTTATGACAGCTGCTTGGTTCATTCATGAGGGTGTACAGGCCATGCCACACGACCAATACAAAAAGCCAGAACATTTTAACTAACTGTGATTTCCCTTAGACTCAGGTCTTAAATGCAACCAGCTTGAATGACTCCAAAATTCTA